CCCTTTGTCTTATTGGCCGGCACAGGTTCCAGACTTTTTTTTTTTTTTTTTTTTTTTTGTGGTCTGTGTCACTCCTCCCCTTCAGTCCGGTGTTAATTTAAGTGTCCTTCCCTCGGAGTTTTTTTTTTCCTCACTTCTCCAGGTAAGTTAGGCCCCCTTGTTAGAACTAGTTTCATTGCGCAAGTAATTTTCCTTCCCTGCACGTATCAGTCTTGAGGCTTCATCATTTTGTAACCTTGGGCCTGAATGTGAGTCTTCACCACTAGACTGACATCTGGGAGGACAGAGTAATTCCTTGTCCTGCCTGGCACGTAGTAGGAGTCAGTAACTATTTATTAAATAAGTGGAACTACTACTTCACGTTCCTGGAATGTGACATAAAGAGATCTAGGCTTTTTAGAATCTGATTAAGCCAGAGTTTTGCATCAGGTTTTTAAATGAAGAATAATGATGATCTTAATATATAAATGTCCCGCTGGAAAACAAATGTCACAGTTCATACCTTGCCCTCTCCATGCCGTCACACATGCTGCTTCTGCAACCTGGAATTCTCCTGTGATCTCATGGCCTCCTGGAGAACTCTAGTCTGCTTTTCTTTTCTCTCTCTTTTAAATAAAAATTGTGATGAAGTACATATAACATAAAATTTACCATCGTAGCCATTATTGTTATTGTTTTTATTGAAGTATAGTTGATTTACAATGTTGTGTTAGGCATCTTAACCATTATTAAGTGTACAGTTCAATGGCATTAAGTCATTCACACTGTTGTGAAACCATCACCACTATCTCCAGAACTCTTTACAGCTTGTGAAACTGAAACTTGGCACCCATTAAACAAACACTAAAAAATCATCTTCCTCAATGTAATAAAAAGAATTTTATTTGCAACAAAAACCCTATTAAACATCAAAAAATTCTAACCCCTGGCAGCCACCATTCTATTTTCTGTCTCTATGAATTTGACTATTCTAAGTAGTTTACATAAGTGGAATCACACTATATTTGTCCTTTCACTTAGCATAATGTTTTGAGATTCATCTATGTTGTTGCATGCGTGAGAATTGCCTTCCTTTTTAAGAGTGAGTACTTTACTGAATGTATATGCCACATTTTGTTTACCCATTCATTCCCTGATGGACACTCGGGTGTTTCCACCTTTAGGCTATTATGAAAAAAAAAATGTGGCTATGAGCATGGCGTGTCTACAAATATCTGTTCAAGTCCCTGCGTGCAGTTATTTTGGATATATATCTAGAAGTAGAATTGCTTGATCGTATGGTAATTCTGTGTTTAATTTCTTGAGTAGCTGCCAAACCGTTTTCTATAGCAGCTGCACCATTTTACATTTCTACCAGCAGTGACCAGTGTTCCAGTGTTCAAGTTTCTCCACATCCTTACCAACACTTATTATGTTTTTTCATACCTGCTTAAATGTCACCTCTTTGAGAATGTGTTCCCTGACATACTTCTGTACCCTCTAGGTAGAAGTGAACTGTCTTTTTCTCTATGATGCCACTGTTTTAATTTTAACACCCATCTCATCCCCTACCAGTCAATCAACAAGTCTTGTCTGTTCCTACTGCAAATACATCCACATTGTGCATCTATCCACTTCTCTCCATTGTCAGCACCCTCATCCAAGCTACCATAGTTTCTCATCTGATACATTAGAAGCCTCTTAACTGGCCTGTGTGCTTCTGCTCCAATCTCTTATCCACATAGCAGCCAAAGGGATGTCTTGTATAAAAAAATCATGAATCAAAACAAACATGTCTCCCTCCCCTGCCCCATCCCCACTGAAACCAATTTCCTCCAACTCCATACTTGACCTGCTATGCCCTGACGGATCCTGTCCCTTCCTGCCTTTCTGGCTTCATCTCTTTCCACTCTCCCTTTACCTGTACATTTCAACCTGCTGTAGACACACTACGCTGATTCCTGCCAAGCTGGTGACCGCCCCAGGCTACTGGATTTGTTATCCTTGGGCCCAGAATAGCTTTTTACTTTACTTCTTGTCATCTCTTAGGCCAGTTGTCACCTTTTCCTCTTATTTTAGACACTGCTCACTATCACAACTTATTTTATCTCATTCGTATTTCACTAAACTCATTCACTAAACACTTTGAAAGTATTTAGCCTGTTACCACCAACCCCAGCCCCCACTGGAATGTAAACTCCATGAGGGCATTGATTTGTCTCATCTTGTTAACTGTTGTATCCCTGTTAACTGGCACAGAGTAGGTAATAAGAAGGAAATGAATGCGTGCATGCCAGCATCTGCTGAAGCCCTCACCACATTGTATTGTAGCTGTTGTTGTGTGTCTACCTTTTCCTGCTGGTTTTTAAAGGTAGGAGTTAGATTTTCTTCTTTGAGGTCCTTCTTGGTGGGTGTATGGTTTGGTAAAGAATCTATAATAAGGTAGGTTCTAAATATTAATTGCATCACAGCTCATTATTGGATCCCTCTTTATTTAGGAAAGGATGGGAAGCCTGGGGTAATTTGGTGCTTCAGTGTCTCAACTAAAGCATTAATTTCCCCAAGAGACAGGACTTTTTAGGTGATGCTGCTCTGGTATTGTGGTGGGTGTGTGTTGGGCAAATGTGCAGTGAAAGAACTGAGAGAAGATTCTGTAGCTGGTGAAGATGATTGACTGGAGAAGAAAAAGCAGGAACCATGTGTCACAAGGAAAATGCTTGTGGATTTAACTTGGACTAGAGAAGAGATCATCTGAATAGGAAGGTATGGATAGTTGAGGAATTTTTTTAGGGAACTTTTTCAAGGGTGGAGAATAAATGGGGAGAATGTGAGTTTATTTCAAGATGCCCATCGAAGGATGAAGGAGCAGATGAGTTCTGAGGACACTTCACAGGTTAAGAAATGGGCAGCATGAGCCTGATAAGAGAGGCCACGGGACCCAAAGGCTGAGCGGCTGAGCTCAGCAAGACTTGAGGAGTCCCCGAGCCACCTTTGGTGCTGTTTCCAGTGGCAGGACTGTAAAATGTGAAGTTGTCCAGAAGCAGGATTTGTAGACTATAAGAGAAAGAGAAGGGATATTAGGAACTGGAGGCCTGTACTGTTATTAAATGTTTATCACAGAATATCTTTAAAGAATTTTGCTGTTAAAGTTGTGTCTAGCAGAGGAGAAATGTTTCATAAGCAGTGATGTGCTGGAAATAGTTCACTTAATTCATCGCCAACAAGCTCTAGAATATGGGAGGTTATTTTTTGTATTTGAGTTTTTCAAAATATCATGCTTAGACAAGTTGATCTTCTTAAGCCCATAAAAACTGCAGGAAGCTCAGAGGCCATAAAGGTGTTCTGCATTAGCTTCACCTGCCGCGTTCTCCGTCTGACTCTGTTCCTGGCCAGGAATAATTAATAAAGTTACAACGTCAGATTAAGAGGTACAGACTACTATGTATAAAATAAATAAGCTACAAGGATATATTGTACAGCACAGAGAATGTAGCCAATAGTTTATAATAACTTTAAACAGGGTATACTCTATAAAAATTTTGAATCACTGTCTTATATACGTGAAACTAATGTAATATTGTAAATTGACTATACTTCAACTTAAAAAAATGTTACAAAGTCAGAGCCAATTCTACCAAAGGAGGACTCTACTCTAAGTGTGGTCTATTTCTTCTAAAAGGTTTGTGCACATCACATTTTTATTATAAAATATTTCAATATAAAGTTCAGAGAACAATGTAAACTCATTCATCCACTATTCACATTTGCTTCAGATTCTTAAATAGTACATAGATTTATTTGGTATGTTTTTTAAAAACTTGCCAATGTCATATATTTGAAGTATCTTTCTACTTGTAGTTTTTGATTTATCTGTTTCCCTGTTGATAGAAATTAGATTGCTTCTAATTTTGAGACATTGCTGGAGACTTAGAGCAAGAGTCAAAGCAAATTGCAAAGACATAAAAGTGGGAGGCAAAAGGAAGTTTTGAAGTTTAAAAAGTACAGGATAGATCAGTCAGTATTGAGCACCTCAAAGGGGTACAGGATACAAAATGAAATTAGGAAATAAAAATAGAAAATGAAAGTTCATTTGAAGAATTTGAAAATGAGTGAGGAAAATAAGATAACTGAATCTTGTAGCAAATGCAGTGAAGAAGGTATTTGAAATAGTTATGTGCTCATGTCAAGAAAGCCTGCATTCCCACTAAGAAGGATACTTCTGTGACCTTGTGGAAGAAAAGGGCAGATATAATCAATAGATAATACTTTTTCTGCTTTAAGAGGAAGAAAACATATGTGATCAATGTAGAACTACATCAAATTTAATGTATTTTAACTATTTTATGTGTTATGTTACAACACATAAAATATGGAAATGGAATAAAAGAGTTCGTTTTCATTCTTTTCAAAAAGAATTAAAACCATCTGAGATCATTATTATTTTGAGAAAGCCATTGTTGG